TACCTTTTTTCTATGGTTGAGATCAATCTGTGCCCCTTTTTCACTGTATGATGTTAGCCAAGGATCTTAACCTCACTGAAACTCAATTGTTTTATCAGTACAATGGGCCTATAATACTTTACGCATAGTATGGATGAGATCAAAATAAGAACTCTGTGGATTGTGAAGGTTTCCTTAGCACTACAGAACCCTGGTGGTTCAGTGGTTAAGAGCTTGGCTGCTAACCAAAAGGTCAGCAGTTCGAATCCACCAGCTGCTCCTTGGAAACCCTATGGGGCCGTTCTTTTGTGTTCTGTAGGGTTGATATGAGTAGGAATCGACTTGACAGCACCGCGTTTGGTATTTTTTGGTATTTAGTACTACAGGAGTCCCTGAGTGGCACAAATGGTGAAGTCCTCGACTACTAGCTGAAATGTTTGCTGTTTGAACCCACCCAGAGGCTCATCAGAAGACAGGCCTGGTGTCTGCTTCTGAAAAGTCACAGCCTTGAAAACCCTATGGGGTAGTTCTGCTCTGTTGTACAGCCGTTACCCTTAATTGATGCCAAATTTCCCATCACCGTAAACAGAAACCCACTGCCTCCCAACAATGGTTCCCCTTCTCTCCCTCCATCCCGCCCCTGTGTTGAAATCGTCTTGACAAGATTTAGCACTAAACTAATTGTTTGAATTATGTTATTCTCCTAAGAGGCCTACTTATTATCCTTATTTTTCCTTAAATCTAGCCAGTGTGAAGTGTGTCTGACAGCTCAGAACATGGAAATATATGTATACTCATATATAAAAAAAAACTTTCCACTCCCTCCCTACTCCCCCCAGAAAGTCCACACAGCTTCTTCCTTTGAGGGGTGGGGAAGAGAGATTCCAGGATGAAGCCTGAGTTCTCAGTGAAATTTGCTCTTCCTCTCTAAATGTTTCTCAGCCCCAGTTTCAATGCAGGAATACAGGTCACCAATTAGTCTTATATTTTATCTTTTTTTTTCTATTTTTAATCAGTAATACAAACTTAAATTTGCTGTAGGTTATAGAATATTTTGCAGATGTTAAGTCTGAATATTAGAATTTGTCATAATCAATGTAATAATATTTTTAACATCTACAAAGCTTAAGAAATTTAATTTTGGATAACTTTTGGAGGAAGTGGAAATATCTATTTTTCCCCAATTAATGATGATAATTATTAGTGCCATATTTATCAATGTTTAGATCTTTTAACTGTAGAATTGGGGAAAATATCCTAAAGTCTTTGAAGCAAGATGATTATCAGGTAATTTATAAGTTAAATGTTTCATGTAAAGAATTTTTATCTTCTTCATTAGCATATGTCCTATATACAGAAAAATACACAAAGCATAAGTGCACGATTCAGTTAATTTTCAAAAAGTGAGCACACTCATGTAACTAGCACTCAGAGGAAGAAACAAAATATTAACAGAACCCCAGAGGTCCCCTTCATGCTCCCTTCTGATAATTACTCATCTAACACTATAGATTCATTTTCAAACTTTGTATATGAATTGAATCATAGAGTTTGTGCTTTTGGTGGGAGGGAGAGAGGACAGAGGATCTGAGCTTTTTTTGTTCAATTATTTATATTGTTATAGCATGCTCATCCTCTCACATTGCTATATAGTATTCCATTGTTTGAATAGGTCACAATTTATCCATTCGTCTCTTGAGGACATTTTGAGTTTCCAGTCTGGCTATTATGAAATATAGTGCAACAGACATTCTTGTGTGTATCATTTGATTATATATATATGTGTGTGTGTGTGTACATATGTCAGCAAAAGTTACATACAAGAATGTCTGTTGCACTGCAGTTCATAACAGCAAACCTGGAAACCCAAAATGACATTCTTGTATGTATCCTTTAAAAAAAAAAAAAGTCTGTACACACATATACATATATATGTGTGTGTGTATATAA